CCGCCGCCGCCCCCGCCACCGCCGCCGCCGCCCGGCAAATTTTTTTTTTTTTAGTAGCTCCTAGTCTTAAAAAGATGAGAAGTGAGGGGCCTGAATCTCAAGGCTTCTCCTGTCCTCAAGGGATGTCTGTCGGTCTTCACTCCTCACTCTTGTGAGTTATGGAAATGCAGCAGCTAATTCTAGACAAACAGGAGGCTTGGTGGTATGGGCTACAAGAAAGACTTGTGTCCTGCCGGCAGAGGTGTGTGACTAGGGCAGGCTAGTTCCTCCACGGGCCTCCTCTGCAAAGTGGCTGCTCATGGTGGGCTATCACATGAATTACAATGGAATTTGGGAATTCAATGTGTTCTCAGAGCTCAGGTCACATAAACACTGCTTCTGTGCCCCAGGCCCAGGGAAGAGGCCCAAACTGGGGCAAGAAAACAAGACATGTCACCCTTCCCAGTTCCTGCCCCATGTAGAGCTCAGAATGGCTCTTGGCAGGTGCCAAGGAGTAAGCCTCTCTCTCTAGTCCCCAGCTCCTGCTTTACTTTGGGTCTCACGTGGTTATATACGAGAGTTATACACTGCTCTTGAGATCACATCTCATCCCCTGCTGAGGCCTGGCCCTTGTAACTTATTCAATACCTTTTATCTTTGCCCATGCATTCCAAGAACTCTGTGCCTCCTTTTGCCTGTCAGCTCCCTGTCCCAGGCCCTTTATGCATACTATTACTCATTCCCAGAATGCTCAGCCATCAACTGGACCAATTTTGTCCAACTGTCCAAATTCTACTGCCTTCCCCAGCCTGAATGTCTGCACCTTGTGCCCTGAGTGCCCTACACCCAGCCTGTAAATACAAGATTCTACTTTAGACAGCCTGACAACACATATGAGTTCACAGACCTACAATCATTGCATTTACACACTGGCAAGCTCAGGATGCTATTAACAATCCAAACAGAACACCCTATCCAGGGGGCACAGGACCAGACAGACTGGTCCACAGCCAACTCCACGTCTCAGAGGCTCAACTCCAAACACACCGATTTTATTCTGTTGGGTTGAAGTGTCTGTTCATAGCTAAGACACTTGCAGGAAGGACCAATCACTTTTCTGTGGCCATGCCTAACACCCAGTGATGGTATACTGATCAGACTCCCCAAAGGCCTCCTTAGGAAAACAACTCAACCTTAGTTTCCACTTTACAGAACAGAGTTTAAAAAAAAAAATCAAGCAAGAAAGAAAAGAAAAGGAAAAAAAAAAAAAAAAAGGCAAGCGGCAGGCAGAAGTAAAGCCAGGTGGTGAATGCGCAGGAGGCAGACCAGGAAGCAGCATGCAGAGGCAAACAGAGGTAGTTAGGAGAAGTCCACTTCCTGTTAGGAGTGTGGAGTCAGAGAATGTAGTAGGTATGGCGTTAGGAGGGGAAGGGAGGGGAGAAGGGGGAGCTGGATCTCAGAAATATGCTCCATCTGATTTGAACTGGCAGCGGCAAGATTTTTCCAGGTTGGCACTGAAGTACAGGAACCAAGCCATGATTGCAAATGACTGCTGCACATGCTAAGTACGTGTCCAAAAATAAAGCACACGAACAAAGCATCACTTATTTCTTCTGGTAGTTGTAGAAAATCTTTTCTTGGAGAAGAGAAAAAGCCCACACATCAACAGCCCTGGAAAGACGACCTCCTGATTTCTTTTGCAGGGTGCCATGCCTTTGTGGGCTGGTACCTACGCCTCTCAGGTTCTGTCCATGAGGCTCCAGGAGGGACTCAGATACACAACACATTAGCCTACACTCCTTCCGGGGCAGAAGGAGAGGGGCAAAAACCCCTCAATTTTTGGATTTTCCATTATGCTTGCCGCATTTTTTAAGGACTACATTGTTAATACGCTGGCAACAGGAATAGGGAAACCTCCCCTTAATACTACTCAGGCCTACCCATTGCTCTGCAGCGCCCCAGGAGAGCCCGTAATCACATTCATCTACCTTTCCTTGGGGGATCTCTTTCGTGGGCGTCTGAGATTTTCCTACTGTGGCTATGAGACTTCGCTATACTCCCTGTGATGTAGAGATGTATGGCTTACCACACATGACCATGGGGTACAAGTGCCTGCAGAGACATAAAAGGCCCAGGTATTTTCAGGCGACTGATTCCTTTGGATAGACTCTCAGTATGAAGGGCTGTGTCTGCGGGAACCTATTCAGCAATGTAGTCTCGAAACCACCCAGTTACTTCCCGAGGCTCTTAAAATAAAAACCTGTTCCCTCTGATTCTCTATACGTCTACATTCTGGGTGTCTACACCAGAACCTCTCCCTCCTTTAGCCCGAAGCACCTGTGGCCACACACCAACTTAGGCAGAACCACCCCGACCCCTGGCAGGCTTTTCCCGGTCATCATCAGTCCGGCCGTCTGTACAATCGGAACACAGGATTTCCCCAGTTTCCTGAGTTCCCTAGCAGGACTGTGCAGGGCAGGAGAGGAGGGGCCTGGGCCTGGCTCTGCTGGGGGCGGGTCAGCACACGCCGGCCGAATGAATGGGCTGCATTCGGGCAGAGACCCCTGCTGCCTGGCCTACAGTGGCGCTCACAACACTGAACGAGTCCCACCGTGTAGTGCAAACGTGTAAGGGCTACGCAGCTGGGAAAGGCAGCAAGGGGAGAGGACCGGGAGCGCAAGTGATCCTGAGGCCTCCCCCAGGAGCTGCCGCCTGGCTCAAGGAGGTGCCAGGCACTTGGACCCGCACCACGGGGAACCCCGTCACTCGCGCGTTGGGAGACCCACCGTAGTCAGTCATCCCAGCCAAGCACCCCCCGCTGGTCCCGCTTACCCTGCACGGCGCCGTCGGCCCCTCTGCGGAGGCAGTGGCGTACCCCGAGACAGAGAGCGACCACCCACCGAGGACCAAGCTCTCCAGCCCAGGTCCGCGTCAACACAGCCTTTAAGCGTGGACAGGACCTAGCAGATGCCGAGAAGCTGTCCCCGCCTACGTCCCCTTTGCGTCACCGGGTAGGCGGGATGGCATCGATGCGCGTGCGTTGTGGCGCTTGTCGGCTACGCAGGCGCAGTAACCAAGTGCTCTTCCGGTGTGTGTGTGTGTGTGTGTGTGTGTGTGTGTGTGTGTGTGTGTGTGTGTGTGTTGCTTTTTCCGTTGCTTGATTGCTCCTTGGATTCTTCTGACAAGTCCTCGAGGCGTGGCGGAACGGAGCCTTGTCTTGACTGGTGTCCTTCTGTAGGCGTTCCCCCTGGATCTCTCCACACTCGAGTTGCTTCCTCTCTTACTTTCAAGGGAATACGTGATAAGATACGCATTCACGAAAGCGAATGCGGTGCCATCAAGCCTCCTTTATCTTGGCTATGTATATAATGTCCTCCTGCAAGCCACAAAGTTGCCAGCTAACTGCAGTGAGACCCCGAATGTATGCCCCTAGTTCATCTGTCTGAATGTCCCCCAAGTTGGTTGTCTTTTCTTCATCAGATCAGGGCTCCTCTTCTGCCTGCCCACGTGATGGTATCTGTACATTGAGGTACGGGGTCGTTGGTCCTGGTTCTGGATGATTTCCCTCTCTGTCGGCTGGGAAAGCCCAGAAATTAGGATTTCTAATGGCCGAGACAGGGCACTTGAAATTGAGCGGGTAGGTGCTAGCCACAGAGTGCAGGGACACTGTGAAAGCAGGCTGGGCAATCGCTAGTAGTGCTGTGAAACCATTGCAAATGGCCACATGAGTAGCTGATTGGACCTTGCCTTGTTTTACTAATCAGACCCCTGAGATTTGACTACAACAATAGTCTCTTATTTGGTGGATATTAAAAGTCGCTCGCCGACCCCCCTGATTTGTTGTAAATAACACTACAGTATCCACTATCTTGCCACCGACTGTGGATGTGCTGTAGGAGAATATCAGAAGTGGAAATGGCTATGATAAACGATATGGCCCTTTGAAAAGCAACTCCATAGATATGGCTGAATTTTCTCTGTAGTCATTGTACTAATTTACACTCTTCAAATGTGTGAACGTGTGGGTTCCCCACAGCTTCACCAGCGGAGTCCTTCCAAAGTTTTGGTTCTTTGCTAATCCAATGGCAGAAAAACTACACCTCACAGTTTGCCTGAATTTTCTAGTGTTTTGAAGTTTGTTCGTGGACCCGCAATGACCTGGCTTCTGTCTGCCTCCTTCACATCTTTTACCACCTCCTCTGCTTTTACCACATTTCTCGCACATTCTAGAATTTGTCTCAGTTTGTAGATGTGCTTACTCACTGCCTGGGAAGCTGTTCTATCAGGTGTTTCCTTTTGTAGAACTTTTCTCAGACCGTTTCATTTGCAGTGACCTCCCTATCATTCTTTATGTATTTCCTTCATAGTGGATGTCATGCTCATCATGACTTGTTGGCTTGTTTATTGGTTCATTCTCTGTCTTACTACAGAAATGTAAGTTTCCTGAGAGCAAAAGAGGCGTCTGCCCTAAGCAGTAATGCTTGCTCATCACCTAGCATTTTAATACATGGAGCCTACAACCCCAGCCTGCCCATGATGTCATCAATCTAGCGGTAGAGAGGGCCCATGATGGCTGCCATCTCTTTGCTGTTCTCTTTAGAGCTTGGGACGGCCTGGACTTTGAAGGAGATAAAGTTAACTTCCCCAGAAGCAACTGCAGCCAAGTTCTCTGTTGCTTGAACAATTCAATCCCCTAGGAAGGTGGCATCTGGAGATAAGAGGGGGCTAGAGATAGGCTCTGACTGAAACAATATCTTCTTCAGTGCTTTAGCCCAAAACATGAGTCCTCTTAATAAAATAATAAAACTCAGAATGGTCTGCTTTTCAAAGTCCGAGGTATAAGTAGTGGAAAGGTACTGTTGAGATATCTTCTACTCTAGGCAGCCTTCCTGGACCTTCGTGGAGGAGGGAGATGGCTAACAATGTGTCTAGGAGGCTGTTGTCCCTGGCTGCCTATCTGCAGGATAGAAATACATTTTATGTAGATTGTTGAGCCTTAATGTGCTGTGTGTTACTAGGCTGAGATAAGGTGGTAACGAGTGCATAGTTAACATGCTTCATAGCATGCAGCTCTTAACTAATTGTTAAGCTTTTAACACCCCAGTCTGCCCTTCACAGAGGTGCAGTTTTTAGTCCACAGCAGGCATGAGCCTCGGTTGCCCATAGTAATGGCTTCTCCTTCCCAGGCTTCCTTCCCTTCTTCTTCTTCTTCTTCTTCTTCTTCTTCTTCTTCTTCTTCTTCTTCTTCTTCTTCTTTTTCTTCTTCTTCTTCTTTTTTTTTTAAGATTTATTTATTTATTACATATACAATGTTCTGCCTGCATGTATGCCTGCAGGCCAGAATGTGGTTGCTAGAAATTGAACTCAGGACCTCTGGAAGAGCAGTCAGTGCTCTTAACCTCTGAGCCATCTCTCCAGCCCCTTCCTCCCCTTTTTTTGGTTCAGACACATTCCTGGGGGACCACCAGTCAGACAACCTCTTATAAACATTTATCTCAGACAGCATGCAGGGAAACCCAAGTTAGGACAGTATTCAAAAATGTCTGTTGAAGGAATAAATGGATTCATCAGGATGCTTCGGAAGTTTTCCCTTCTGAGAAGGAAGATGATGAGAAGCATCCACTCCGAGGAGGCTGGAGAAGATGATGGAGCCGATAGCAGAGACGTGGGCAGAGCAGGAATGCAGAGAGTGTGCTCTGACAGCAGATATGACTGGCCCTGCTTTGTGGGCTGAGGAAGTGCTGGAGGAAGTAAATGAGTATGTGTCCTATCTTAGCTTACTCAGGGACTAAGAGTGGGGAGAGCCGCTGTCTTGCATGCCGTCTACTAGGTTTGCTTGCGTAGTTACACCAGCTGTAAGTCTGTTAGGTGGAGGAGGAGCAGGGCCCGTGATGCTGGCCTGCCATCTTAGCTGCTCAGGAGCTAAGCAGCTGAAGCAGGTGGATGGAAAGTTCAGAGCCAGTCTGGACAATTTCATCAAAGCCTATCTCTAATTTAAATGTCAAAGAAGGCCCGAGGATGTAGCTCAGTTACTTGCCTAGGGTGAGGGAGGCTGTAGTGCGATCCCAGTACTGTAGAAGAACAAGACAAACAAAAGAATCAGGCTAACACGGTTCTGCAAGGTCCTTGGTTTCAGAGGCTCTCGGTGCCCACCCACATGATTCACCCCACGGCAAAGAGCCCATGATTCTGGAACACCCGAGTTTTCTATCAGTCAGAGAAATGCCCAGTGACTGAAAGTTCCGGGCAAATGATCCTGGGAGAAGCCTTCAGCTTGACGGAGGTGTAGATCCTGGCTTCCTCCCAAGCAGGACAACTAGCATATCAACACTGGAACGTTTGGTAACAAAGTGTGGCTTTCCTCTTTCATGTCTTCCTTCCTCATCCCTCTATTGGTGTTTTCTGAGGTCACTGAGTGGGTGAGTGGGATTGATATAAGTCACTCACCAATTGTAGGTCCTTTGATAATAATACCAGACAAAATATCTAGTTGCCTCTCTGATTTCTTTTTTGTTAGAAATAAAATCGGATGGTTCATTTCCAAGGTTGCTTCTAGCCAGCTTAGATGCAGCTTCCAGAAGACACTTGACTCCTGCTAATGCCCTACAGTCTGGTTAGTCCCCTCCACCCAAACTCTGTTAAGCAACCTCTGCCTGCCCCCACCACACAAACCAGAAGTTCAGAGTAGAAAATTCCTAATAACCAACCTTGCCTGCAAGGTCAGGCATCTGGTGAGCTTTGAAATAAACAGGACGTAAAACAGAGATAAACCCGAGTATGTTTGTTGAGAAAAGACAAAGGTAAGCAGGGGGAAGATAAGAACCAGATGACACCTAAGATTGCATTCCTAAAAGGGAGGATGGGTCATGTGTTCGGGCTTATAAAGGTTCTTTTCCTCAATAAACATGCCTGTAATTCTAGGTTGACACAGGTGTTTGCAAGATCATGAAATAACCCACCTCGATTTCACTACTCTGCATTTCCAGTGCTCTTATTATGAAGTGATTATTGTTTCTCCATTTATTCTTTATCATTATATATTCTTATTATGAAGAGACCATTGTTTCTTAATTTAAAAAAATTATTACATCTTTTTATTTGTATGGGCATGTGCACACATACACCACGGCACATGCAGAAGTCAGAAGATAACTCTGTGACGTCACATCTCTCCTTTCATCATGTGCATTTGGGTCATTAGACTTGGCAGCACGTGCCTTTACCTGCTGAATCATCTTCCCAGCCCACCTCTGTGGTTTCTCCCTCAAATTATTGCCTTTCCAACCACCTATATTCTCCCTAACTCCTCCTAAAACTCAGGCCTGCTTTGTTCATGGCGAGCCGTGCATTTCACAAAACCTCGTACTGTATGTGAAAGAAACAGGGCTTTACCCTTGTTCTCAGGAAGCTGGCAGTTTATTATTCTTACCTGCCACTCCGCCATTCTGTGGTGTCTGTGGACTTCCTGAGACATTGTCCAGCAGAGGTCACCTTGCAGTGTAGCAACAATCTGGCTAAGACAAGAAGGACAGCTGTAAAACAGGTAATGACCTGAGTGGTTTATTAAGTATCTTGGTGAGCAGAGGTTGGGGGAATTGACCTGTTGATTCAATGTTGTCTCCTCCCCAGGAAGGCATTAACTCTGTACCCATAAGTGGATGTTACCCATTGTCAGAGTAAGAACAGTCTCTTCCCTTTTCAGTCCAGGAGTGTTCATATGAAAATTTATCTATCTATCTATCTATCTATCTATCTATCTATCTATCTATCTATCTATCTATTTATGTTTTTTGAGACAGGGTTTCTCTGTGTAGTTTTGGTGCCTGTCCTGGGTCTCGCTCTGTAGACCAGGCTGGCCTCGAACTCACAGAGATCCTCCTGGCTCTGCCTCCTGAGTGTTGGAATTAAAGGCATGGGCCACTGCCACCCGGCTGAAAAATTATTTATTTTTGTTTTATTTCTTTTGGTTATCTTGAGACAAGGTCTTACTTTGTAGCCACGGCGGGCC